GCTCACGCTTGTAATCCTAGCACTTTGGGAGGCTGAGGTAGGTGGATCATGAGGTCAGGAGTTCGAGACCAGCCTGACCAACATGGTGAAACCCCATCTTTACTAAAAATACAAAAAATTAGCCGGGTGTGGTGGCACATGCCTGTAATCCCAGCTACTTAGGAGGCTGAGGCAGGAGAATCACTTGAACCCAGGAGACGGAGGTTGCAGTGAGCCAAGATCGTGCCATTGTACTCCAGCCTGGGCAACAAGAGCGAACTCTGTCTCAAAAAAAAAAAAAAAAGTATTAATCTGAGATAGACTTTAATTTTTTTGGTGTCACATCTTTGACAATCTAATAAATTTGCATTCAGTTTCAATGGGTTCATGTTATCTTAGTAATTCTTGAATGTCTTCAAAGTAAAGCTGACCACATTTGTATCTAAACTGTTTGCTTTGCTTATAGGATTTTAAACTGTCTACAGTTCTTAACCTCATCTGCTAAGTTCCCATGCCTGGAGAAGCTAATCCCAACTCATCATGTGATGATTCAATTTGTACAATAAATTATGAACCTGGAAAAGCTGGTTGTCTTTATTTACAAGATATCAAAAATATAAAAACTGTACAAAATGCAACAAAGGCAAAAACTGGCAGTGACTTGGTCTAAATCTTTTAGTTTCCCAAAGCAAGGCTCAGTACTGGAGGTAAGCAACTGAAATGTCTGTCTGACTTCAAGTGTACTAGGTCGTATGTAGCTGTTTTAGCTGAAGTAGAACATGGAAGCTAAATTTCTTCACCTGGTTTATCGAGTGTTTGGGTGCACTCAAAACTCAACAGGTATATAAATTCAGATGTCAGTGGATGGTTGTAATTCATCTAGATCTAACAAAGGAACCCCACCTAGTTACATACATTCCACTAATCATGGGCCGAGAAAAAAAAAGTTAGTGGATCATTTAACAGTTTTTGAGTGCCATACAGTAACTACGTTTTTACAGCAGAAACATACATGCTCATAGGATTCTTCAGCTAAAATTCAAGATGATAGTATATTTCTGAATTTGAATCTTGAAGCAGGATGAATTATTGAAATCAACTTTTTTTCTAAACGTAATAAATTAAAGTAGCATTTGAACAGAAAATGCATAGTTTCCACACAATCCAAAGCACCATAAATGTCCCCTCCATGATCATAATACCTCTTATTCAACTAACGGAAATTAGTCAAATGTGGTTGCTATAGAAACGTGGAACTGTCCCGTTCAGATTTTCCAAGCAGCATACTTCCAGATCCATATAGACAAAAACATTCTTTGTAGCTTAAATATTAATCACTGAGGTATTTGCTTTTAGTCTCCCTTTTCAAAAACAGTAGCTTCCAAAAGGTCTTTAATACCGGCGGTTTATTGTGGACTATAAGCTCCTGCAGCTAGAACCAGGTTTCTTCGAGTAAAATGAAGGTGTACAACTGGTGTTGATTTGGTCATATATGTTCCCAACAACAACTCCTGTGAATTCTCAGGTAAATTTATATGCCCAGTGGCTGTAGTAAAGTCATCGGTCTCTAAATCTTCAAAGGCTTTGATAGCATCCCATAATCGAACTGTATTATCCATTGAACCTAAGGGGAAGTCAAAGGAAACCATTAGTTGCATCCATCATATTTACATTTGGACATTTTGTCCAGTACACTTTATGTATCTACTGTACATTTTGGGTGAAAAATCTAAACTTGACCAACAACTCTATTCCTTCCTAAGGAGCATTTCAAGCGGTACTTTAACCTGAGAAGTAATTCATGTATAGGGTGACACTCTGGAATCATAGCTAAAGGGAAGCAAAACCTAAAACACAAGGACTTAGTTTTGCAATCGTCAACACTGTTTCCTCTTAACATAGCATTTACCATAAAGCCATTAATAGTCATTTACCTGATGCCAAAATTTCACCATCTCTACTAAACCTAAGTGAACAGACTGTATCAGTGTGGCCTTTTAATTCTCCAACCATCAAACCATGTCCAATATCCCAAAGAAGTACTCTGCCATCTGTTGCTCCTGTAGCCAGGAATCTCCCATTGGGAGAAAATGTCAAGGAATGAATTGGTCCCTACAAAAGAAGTTCATAGAAAGGATCAGAGTAAAGTATGTCTAGGAAAATAAGACAAAATTTTAAAGTTTTGTAGTAAGAATGGTGTCTGCAAAATTTATGTGTCACTTGTTTAAAAAATATTTTTATCTTGAAAGCAACCTTGGATGCTGGAATAATAAGAGTGTAAAATACCTTGTGTCCAGTGAAGATCCTTACACAGTTACCATTTAGGACGTCCCAGAGTCGCACAGTTCTGTCTGCAGAGCCCGTAGCAACATAATTAGAATTTGGATGGAATCTGGTACAATTCACATCAGCAAGATGGCCAGCAAATATTCTTAAAGGCTGATAGTGGTCTGTAGCCCAGAGCCTTTTATAAAGTTATTGAAAGCAAAAGACAACAATTAGTACATAGCTGTGAAATGCCAAAAATCCATACAAAATAAATACAGAAACATCCATATGAAAAGTTATTTCTGAGTGGGCCCCCCACTTACTAGTTAACTGAGGGGAAGAAGAATGAGACTCTCAGTCCTGAGAGTTCATCTGGTACAATTTTTTTTTTTTTTTAAGCTGAAGTCTTGTCCAGGCACGGTGGCTCACGCTTGTAATCCTAGCACTTTGGGAGGCTGAGGTAGGTGGATCATGAGGTCAGGAGTTCGAGACCAGCCTGACCAA